CCCCCCCCCCCCCGTATAAATCAGGGACAAAATCCAACTTTCTACGGAGGGATAACAAAAAAAAAATTCCACATCTTGCGTTCAAGAAAAAAAAGATGAATTTTCAAAGTTTTTGTATCCTCTTCGGCTGTAAGGCCGAGATTATCGCACTCTACATTAAAAAAAAAAATTTATTATGCGAGAAAGTAAATCTTGATTTTACTTCATGCGACTTTTAACTCTGATTTAGATCTATTGATCAAGATATACTGAAAAATAAAGCAAATCGTCGATTTCTGCGGTTTTTCATTCACTCTACCACGACATGTGACAATGTCGCTCTTGACCTCATTGGTGTGAAATTTAAATTGAAAATTCGGTATGAAGCTTCTAGTCGTTCGGTGTAAATTTGACGAAGAATATTAATTGTATAAAAAAATAACGAATTTTTGTCTACTATTTTTTAATACTTTTATTATTTTCAAGTTGGTTTGCAAAATCATCTATTTTCTCATTGCCTCTAAGTTTACAATCCGTCGCGGGGTAGATACATCCGCCGAGTCAGAACTGTACACGGAGCGCTACTGTGCACAGCAGAACTGTCCACAAATGAAATAGTGCACGGGCGAAACTGTCCACGAGGACGAAGTGTCCACAACGCGCCAAGCCGATAAACCAGCATCGGTATTGTAGGAATCGAATACATTTATTACCTATAGAATAAAATTGTCAGTAACAATTTCCGTTACCTGATGGCGCTATAAGACTGAAAAGATTATTTTCGTGAAATATCCAGGGCTGTACTACCTGAACTCTTAGGTAAAAACTGAGTCGTGGACCCTAATAGGAGCTAACTGAATAATTGTTTGCCTCATTAACTCAAATGACAGGCCTACAGTAATTATTATTATCATTTCATACATGAATGAGAACCGCAAATTAATNGATGTTTTAGGGTGTTTAAAACTTTTTTAAACCCATCTGAACGAAATACTTATTGTGTGGGTGTGACAATTTCTTCCGAATGAATTGTGCGATCAAGAT